AAAGACCGGCAAGTGCTGTCCAGAGCAATTCGGAAGAACCGCACCCAACCGATGGCCCTCATCCGCAAGGAGTTTCAACAGGCATCCGGGAGTATTGTTTCAATGAATACCATCGGTAAGGAAGCACATCTGCTTGGCTTTATGGTCGTGCTGCTGCCCATAAGCCTTTGATAACAAAGTCCAATTGCGCTGTTTGGTTAATGTGGTGCAGAGCACATCGAAATTGGACCGTAGATCAGTGGAAACGGGTTCTTTGGAGTGACGAATCAAGGTTCACCCTTTACCATTCGGATGGCAGGGTCTGGGTCTGGCGTCTACCTGGAGTACGTCTCCTGTCAGAATGCACTGTGCCAACAGTCAAGTTCGGCGGAGGTGGAATTATGGTCTGGGGTTGTTTCTTCTGGTATGGGCTGAGACCCTTGGTCCCCATTCATGGTAAGCTCAACTCTGATGCCTACTGCACTATTTTGGATGACAATGTGCTTCCTACGTAGTGGCAGTTTTATAGGTTGGACCCCTGTTACTTTCAGGACGACAATGCCAGTTGTCATGTTTCGACGTTAACCAAGGCTTGGTATGGTGTCAATGGAGTTCATCAAATGGACTGGCGTGCCCAGAGTCCAGACCTGAACCCTATCGAGAACCTCTGGGACGAGTTGCATCGCCGAATTCAGGGGTGCACTACCCGTGCAAAATTGGTGAAGAAACTTCTATGTCTTCTCCTAGCCGAGTGGAAGAAAATACCACTAGCTGTCATACAAAGACTTGTGGAAAGTATGCCCCGGAGGGTCCACGTTGTAATTACCTCTCGTGGAGACTCTACCAACTATTGATTTTGAATAAAGTTAGTTTTTCTTTTCTATCACAGGTGTCCAAATACTTATTGGTATTCAGTGTATTTGTTCTTTTACAGAAGAAACTCTTTCTTCACTGTGCTCAACTTTATTTTCAATAGCTTCAATTCTGCCTTCCATAGCCTCGAGGTATATTACGCAGGTAATTTCTCTTTTCATTTCCTCTTGACTTGCTTCAATCTTTTTCTTGAACAGACTTCATGTCTTCTTTAACAGATATTTGACCAGATTCCATCTTTTTGTGACCTGCTCTCATCTCTTCTGTAACAGAATATTTCATCGCTTCTTTAAATGTAGCAAAGGCTGCCATGAATTGCCTTGACTGTTCTTTCACTGCTCTTGTGACTGGCATTCAAATCCCACTTCTGACATCAAAAACTGTTACGTGTGTATGGGTTCGTAATAAACTGAATGCACAAGTCCAATGAAAAGTGAATAAAATTTATTCTAATCACAACAAATAAATACAAAATGCTTAAATTTTCTCAGAGATAATCGTACAATATTGCAATATCTCACTGTAGTTATATTTTAAACTACTAAAAGATTTTACAGAACACAATTCAAAACAAAGCTAATCCGATTTCACTGCGAATCCACTAGAATAAACAACAACAGTTTTCTAAACAGCTCATAAAACAACTGAATTGAGATGTTTTCCTCCGGCTACTATAAGCTAAGTACACGAGAATATTCTGGTATTTTCTCCATTTTTCTGGATAGCAAAAGAGTACAATTATGAGACATCTATTTATTAAATGTTAAATGCGTGTGCTCCTGTATTTAAAATTTTCTGGCATAGCTTTCTCTTCAAGTCTTGTGCTGCATTGCATGGGAACATAAAACAATTTTAATTACAAATTCTACTAAAAAATAGTTAAACACAAAAACTGTAACACTATGATCCTATGGGACAACAGCGGTTCTTGGTAGCACCAAGCCAACTTTCTAGCGATGTTCCAAGAAGGCTTCATGATACTCCAAAAATAAAACAAAATAAGGAGGAAGTACTATTGCTCAGGGTTATATGTGAGCACACAGCAGTATGTATCCCACTGTCTAGAATGCAAAAGACAGAAATTACCACAGCAACTTCCACTAGAATAGAATTATTGGATAAAAATATTTCTTCTTTAGTGAATAAAATTAATTTTTTAACCTTTTCAAAATTCTAATATCTTAGCACTAGCACATTTTATTATTTTCTGTGATAGATCACGTTACATATGTTTTCACTTAGCTCTGGTCATTTCCTTAAATATACAACTGTTTCACTCTTTTGAATGCTGAAATTTTCTATTGCACTTCTGAAATATAGAGACAGCAGCCACCAATAACCACATTGTAAAGTCGTTGAACACTGGTAGTTCGGTATGGTGTTTGAATCCCTGCGGAATGGTTGGCTGCATGGGTGCTTTCATGGATTTCTTCATATGCAGTGCTTATATGAACCAGTTTCTCCTAGAAAGTCCTCCATGAAGGCATCCCTCCTTTAGGCAGATAACCCTCAAGTGCTTTGTTATATCAAATAAACCAAACTGAAATAGAGATACCTATGTCTCTTTACTCTCAAAACTGATTTCAAAATCTGCATTAAAATAGGTTGCTTTTCTGTTTAATTTTAAAATCCAGAGTTTTAATCTGATCTTTTTAAAAAATCTGATGTGTACACCACATGACTTCCTTGTTTAGAATATTAAATTATAAGCATTTTTCATGCATTTCATTTAAACTTATTGGATTGAATTATATCTACTTCGTTGATGGCACATAACCATAATAGACAATAGAATAAATGCACTCTTTAAAATTCACTATAATTGTTTACCATAGCGACACTCTGGCTCTAGGCTCACTTAACAGCATTACATTTCATTCATTTTATAACTCCGAATGCACAAAATTTATATTATATGAAGAATTAGCTAATTGTTGCCACATGTTCTATTCTAATACTATAATAAATCTAAAATGACGTATAAAAGAAATTAAGGAACCGCCTAAAAATACCCTGTTTTTCACAGACAATTCAATATTTCTCATTTAATTAATTCATTTCTCACTTCGCAACAAGGGAAAAAAACATAAAAACTCAAAATATCTATACAGTCAAAGTCGTTAATCCAGACTCGTCGGGACTTCGACGATTCTGGATTATCGATTTTTCCGAATTATAGATCATCAGTTTAAATCTCGTAAGATGGCATGCAGAAATTCTAAAATTAAAAATATGAAACCATAATTTATGAAATAAAGAACAATTATGATTTAAAGGGTATCAAAATTTACAAAAAAAAAAAGAGCTTAATATTTATTTGTTTACTTTATTAAACATTTCTTTCAATGTAAGTTGTTTAAGTTGCTTCATTTTATGTGATAATACTTTCTCTTTAATTCTATAAACAGCCATAATTTCTTGTTCAGTTACAAAGTTCCGCTGTTCAAGTCCTATAATTGCTGTGCCGTGAATACCGAATAACTTTTCAATCGAAATTTTTTCGTTTTCATTAACCTCTCTGTCACATTCTTCATGTCTTTATCCATTTTTGCAGCAATTCCACTTTTTGTTTGATGGACATCGAAACATACTTTCGTTTTGCACGATCCTTTGGGAGCTCCAGAATCGGAAATTCTATTTGACATAATCAAAAGTTCAAATTTACTTTTATAATATTGCTTTTACAGTCTGCAAAAAATAATAAGCCGGATCCAATTCAAAGATTAATGAACAATGCAATCATCAACATTAACTGAAATAGATAATTAGATAATTTTAGCTTATAACGTCCGTTATACATAAAACGCGCACGCGAAAACGTATTCTGTGCTTGTGCACACGCATATGCGCAGTCGTAAAAGATCGTACGCGCACGCGTAAACGCCTATGCGCATGTGTCAACGCGGCGCATGCGCAGAAAGTTTTTAGCTTTGAGGTCCGGATTATAGATCATTCCGGATTATGGGTGTCCGAATTAACGACTTTTGACTGTATTAAAAATTATGAAGATCACTTATTTCCTCAAATAAATTACAAAATGGGTTAAGCACAATTTAATTTGCAATAATAAAAGAAGGTGTTATCTTTGTTGTTGCAAAGCTGTTTCTCTAGATTGGCAACAAATCCACTATTCTGCTATGTTTCAAATTTAAACAAATATGGCTGCTATTCTAACCAAAAATTAGGCTTAGCCGCACTTAAAAAACTTTAAATTGTTGATAATTCCACAATTATTGCATGCAGGTTAATTAAAGGCATAAAAACCTTACATGGAAGATAAGATCAACATAATGCAATCATTTTTAAAGCAAAAAATGCACAATTTACAAACATATAAAAATAAAGAAACTGAGCTCACTGAGCCGAGTATATATATATATATATATATATATATATATACATATATTATATACTAATGGTGCATTCAATTGCAACCAAAATGGGAGGTGCTCATCTACATGTTACCCTACATACAAAATTTCGATGTTCCGAGGCTACTCATTTTTGAGTTATAGGAGATACATACATACGTACGTGCACACATGTATGCCCAAAGGCATAATGTAGGTGCCTACATTGCCCCTTTTTTAATGCCTAATTAACATAGGGGGTCTTTTGGCCTTTTTTTTTTAACATTTTGTGTGTTACCTTTATTTATTAAATATCATGTTCTTCACATTTAAATCATAAGATTCAATTCAACAGCAATTTAAAATAATTTTACGAGCATATCTTTAGAATTTACACAGTCTCCCAGGCTGGAGATAAATGTTATTCTTCTGTACAGTGTTGCCATTGCTCACTTTGAAGTCTTTGAGTTTGTTAATCAAAAGCTCGTTAAAGTGTTACAAAATATGAAATCTACAATAAAACAAATTTCAAATTCGGGCTTCCAGATGCCCACATTCGGATCTAGACGTACGTTTATCAAAATTTGATGGCTCTAGGTACTGTTGTATTATCACAATGTGAGAAACATATGTACATTTATGCAGATTCTTCATTATTTAATTTCTTTAAATATAACACACGGCTCTAAATATTTGGTGGCAACAATTTGAAAAGTGAATCGACATTTATAGTGAACCAATACAAAATGCAAAAACAAAATTAATAGCTCTTCTGGGCTAATGCACTTTGGGCTAACAAATAAACAAAATTTTTTAATATAAACGCAAAGACTGCACCCAAATTACCTGACGAAGAACTTCCCTTAATCTCCGTTCTTCTTCTTCTCTTTCCCTGTCGGGTAAAAAGCTAGTATCAACATCTGGATTTTTTGTAATTTTTCTCTTCTTTTTTACTTGTTCTTTGGTATCCAAGGAATTGCTATCTGAAGAGAATCCTTGACTATCTTGATCATCAGTTAAAGGCCTTTCTTCAAATGCATTTCCTTCATTCTCATCAAGTTCCTCATCTTCCTCAAGCCGAAATGACAGAGCAGCTATCTAATTTGTATGACAGATTTAGAATTAATTAGCATTTTAAATAGCAACTTTGATAACTGGCACATGAGTAATGAATGGATAAGTTTTTTAACAGCAACTATAATATAATAAATAAATATGGTATTTCTTTGATATAGCGCCCCTCCGAAATTGAATTACCAATCAACTGAAATATCTGGCCAAAATCTGGCTGGATGTTCTTATACCTCGCCACATACTCATATATTAGCACTGGCTGTGTGTTCTTATACTTCGCAACATAGCTGTATATTAGCAACATATTGCATTTTTGCTGTCATCGTGTGTTCTTATATTATTCATTTTTGATGAGGTTTTTGAATTAGTACTGTTTATTTAAAAATATATTCATTGCTTCTTTTGTGAATATGATATTAAAAATCTTTAATTTACCAAGTAATCAGGGGGATGCCATCACGTAATCAACTCTGGGCTTTTCCTCTTTTGTCAACTAAATGACACTAAGAGTTCCTTTGCCTCGCTGAACAGAGGCACAGGAGTTCAACCCCTGCCTTTGCACCTTGGAGAAAGAGACACATAACTTTTGCGAGACTGAACATTATGATTTGCTATTTGCCAGTTCGCCCAAGGGCATTACCCAGAATACCTGGAATGTCATTCCCTGGTAGAACTCGAGACGCCATCCCCGGCTACTAGAGCCTTGAGCTCTAAGACATGCCAGGCCACAGCGCCAACTAATAAGTGATCTTTGTAGGTCCTTTAGAACCACTAGGTTCATGACTTCTTTATCCTTGTGGCCGATACTGTCTAGTAACAAATCCTAGCCAGTAGCTTCTCAGAGTTCTCTCTTGACCCCTCAGGGTGGGGAAGATGCCATATCATTTTTTCAAGAAAAAGGTCTTTTACCTGATAAACGTGTATGCAAAAATAGCCACAACATGAAACTTATCATTACTGAATAAACCATTTGGAGGTGTAATGTTAAAAACTGCAAAAAGAAGAAGGGCCTCTGTGTTTGAAATTGGTTCAATGGTTTTAGAATATTATTCACCACTGCTATTAGATTTAATATATTCTCAGGAAGAGGAGATGACGCTCATGAAATGGTGTAACAAACAGCTTAATATGTATGGAAGTGCTGCAGCTGACTGGAAAAATGACATGCGTTAAAATAATAATAAGGATAAGGATGAAGATTCTTAAAAATATTCTTAGGAAATTAAATGTGAGTATTATTGTTATTCTTATGCATTGAGTTGTTTATTTTTACATTCATGCTTCATGAGCTTGACAAAATTATAGCTGAAATCGTGGAACGAATTTAAAATCGGCAAATACATTTGGGGGCCGCTATAACAAAAAAATAGCTTTGATTGCAACCGCACAAAAAAATTCTCTATTTTAAACCTGCCAACCTTGAACAATGAAAAACAATGAGGTTCCCACATAGAAACAGAGTTTCTGGAAGTTTGTGCTATGCAATGACATCAAAAAAAACTCTAGACTGACTGAAATTCATTTCATAATGCGTGATTCAGTTTGCTAATCTATTTATAATGCGATTCTGATACAAAAATACATTAATACTGATTCAGATTATTCCAAGTTTTATTTCTTTGGCTAATTTCATTTTTTAATTACTTACACTTTTTACACTGAGAAAATCCTTAGTAAAGAAGAAAAGCTTTTATTTTACAATGCAATGAAAATTAATGATTAATGTACCTAAGCACTGTGAGGATAAATTTAAAGCAAATACTGATGTTAAAAAAAGCACAGGTTTTCGAAAACAACAACATTTTCTAGTTATTTCTTGAAAAATTAGGACATTTGTTACAATATTTTTTCAGAAAAATTAACTTTCAGACTTTCAAAATTTGAAGAGAATTTTCAATTTGCATTTATTGTTAAAAATGATATCTAGAAGATTTCATTATTTAATAAAAATATTTAGATCCAAGTTCTATGATTTTTATTTCCCAAAATTGTATTTTTTTTTTTTCCCCCTTCTCTAATGCTTTAAAGCTATCTTCTAAACAGGCTTTTCTAGAACTAAGCCCTTTTCACTTTGACCGGGGTAAATATGTAAGATAAAAATATGAAAATAAAAATTATAATTTAAACTAATGGTAACCTCTTAATTCTCTCCCTCTGTTCTAAAAATCCTAATAACTTCTCTGGATTGCATCATTTCTAGATCAATCTATCTTGCATGGCCTGTGCAATGCTGATGATGTGGGTAATTCACAACCTAAACTCAAAATTTTGATAACTAAAACACTTTCTGACATACAGCAAAACCTTCCTCTTGACGTTCTTCCATACTGGATAAATGCACACTTCACTTCAACTTCTGTGCTGCTTGCAAGCAATTTCGCTGTGCTCTCCTCCTATAACAACAGTATCAAAAATGTAAATGTTCTGGAAACAGGCACGATTAGATTGCCAAGTGAATTGCGGCCTCAAATGTAAATTTAATCCACCTCAACTGCCAAGTTTCTAATCATTAAGGATTTAATATTCTATGCACTCAGAATTCTTCCTCTTAAATAGAGATAGACATGCTTCACAATCGGTATTTCTATGTCTCCGTGTTTCTACATAAGTACTTCTAAAAATTGCTTTTATTACATAAATAAATATTAATTCAAACTGAATTATAAATCTTCAATATGTAATGCATGAAGTTAATTAAATACAAAGAATTATCTTAAAAGTTTTAACTCCATTGCTCAATGAATTATAGCAAAACTGAAGTCATTAAAATGCCCCCATAATCTTTACATTTATTTCACATAAAATAAAAAAAAAAAAAAAAAAAAAAAAAAAAAAAAAGCTTTTTCAGTTATTCTAATACTAGGAGAACTTAAGGCATGCAATTACTCTCTTGGATTTCTAGCATATATTACATAATCTAACCTGCCGCTTTTGTCTTTCCTTCGCCTCTTGTTTCTCTCTAATTTCTTTTTGTCTCTGGAGTTCTTTCTCATGTTGTTTCTGAGCTAATTGCCTTTCTCTTTCTTTCACAACATCTTCTTGTTTTGCCTGAGGATTACAAAATAAATTTTTATAGCTTCTATATGAACAGCATAATTACATTAAAGGAGAATTAAAAATTAATATACAAATACAAAATTTTTGCTTAATTTAAAATTTGCATAATGGAAGTAACACATTGTCCCTTTCTTATTATCCGCTCTCCCACAAAGCATTGCCAAAGCATAGGCAATTTTGTGAATTGGTAAAAAACATTTGTTTGGCTATTTTTATGGTTTATATTTACTATTTTGCTCTTAAATAATAGTAAAAAGAAACACTTCCTAAGAAACAAGAAATTTTATGCGTGAAAAATTTATATCACTAATGCTTACATTTTTACAGCAACTGAAAACTGTTAAGTGAAATGGCAACTAAACATGAAATGATATGTGAAGCATATAAATCACATGTTCTCAGCTATGTATATGACATGTGCATGTACAAATTGTCTGTTGTCACACATGTACTTGAAAATATGCCAAAAAACATGACAGTTTTACCACATGTTGTAGAGAACTATGCAAAGCTACTAGCTAGGATCTTAACCTAGGCAGGCTGGCCCAAGGGCCTGGCACGTCCAACAGCAGTTGGCTCTAGTAGCCTGGGGGTTAAGCCTCAGGTTCGCTGGGTAATGTCCCTCTGCGATGGGCAGCCTAAGCATCTGGCAGGTAGCAAACCATAGTCAACGATCAGTGTTGCAAAAGTGATGCGTCCCTCTCCGTCAAGGTTCGAGGGCAGGAGTTGAACTCCTGTGGCTTGTTCCAAAGGGGAAGGGAACTCTTAGTGCCCTAAGGTGGAAAGAAGAATGCCCATATTGCTAGACTTATTGCTAGACCACATGTTAAACTGATAGTGCGGACAGTCATTATCAAAACATCTTATGTTCTCAAAACTTATATTAACTGAGATATGCACATGAATAATATACTAAAATACACATCCAAATTGCAACAGAATAAAACAAAGCTAGGACTTTACTACACACAGATACCTACAATAAGTTTTTTATTAATAAGCATATAAATATTTTTGCTACTAAACTATAATGAAGAAAAAGACATTGATATAGAAAAGAATAATAAAAAGTAATAGTGATACAGAGGGAGAGAGAGATTTCCCTCATCTAGACTTAATTCTAATTGCTTCAAAAATTTGCATTCAGTATTGTTAAATTAAGTATTCAAAGCAGTTAAAAACGATTTAAAACTTTATTTTTTCATGTATATATTTACAACAACAGAACAATCTACACTGTTATAGCAATGAAATGTATGTTGGCTAAAATAAGAATTCAGCTACATTTGGATAATCTAAATAATCACCAGCAAAACATCAAAGCTAAAAGTAAATAATCGTCAATAAAATATGAAGGCTTATAATTAATTTTGAACAATATTATTTTAGTACAACTTACATAATCAAAAACTAATAAAACTATTAAAGGACCCATGCCATTTAACATTGTACAATAAGCTATAAAAGTATTAACATCAATCATCAAGAGAAGAGAACACTGAAAGACAAATTACAATCAGCACTTTCAACTCTTACTTTACATTAAAAACTTTGTTCACAACTGGTAGAGCACCTTCTAGTAAAATTAGTGAGAAAGATACTCTTCTGTTGTCAGGACTGGATTCAGAAATGTATGTATGTATGCACATGTGAATGTATACAAATTAATATATGTGTGTGTGCATATATGTCTGTGTATTCACATATATATATGTATGTACACCTTGCACAAACAAAGAAAAAAAAAAGAAGAGGAGGAGGAAGAAAAGACAGTTTTATATATCCCGTTCTACTGGACCAATTGTTGAAATTTAACTTGCATTTTCCATGTCTCGAAGGTGCGACTTAAAATGTATATTAGATTTACATATAGCATTGTCCTAACATAAGCATTTGGACACAAAATCCTTTTTCTGAATGAAAATGACTGTTTCTGAAAAAGCATACCAATTTTTTTGTCATATTTTGATTCTACAACTCAAATTATGCCAAAGTGCCAAGTTTAGAAAAAACTGCACAAGTAGTTTTTTAAAAAATAGCTCTTTCATGTTAATTGAATTTAGTGCACATTTATTAATATCTCTTTTTTTTAATTAAACTTATTTGATTCTTTCTTTCACATTTCAAAATTTAGCTTCATTCCAAATAAAATTTGCCCATTTTTTATGATTTATTTTAAAAATTTGTATTTTTAAATAATTTTTATAAATTTTTCAAAAAAATTTTGAAATAAATATAATCTATACAATTTTTTCCATCATCTTAAAGTAGATGTAATTCTAAGCATACCTGCAAAAAATTAGAGTTTTTTTATTTTTTATTTAAAATTTCCTAATATATACATGAATTTACATTTTGTCGCATTTTGAAATTTGGTATATTTGTTATCAGCAATAATAACACCAAATGTGCTTTACGCACTTTGTTTAACATTTCTTTAGACAATTTATTAAAAATATTGTCCATTGCCAGCTATATATTTTCCCCATGTCTCTGGAAATTTATGAATGGCATGCCAAAAAAACTGTTGCTCTTTTGAGGCAAACAAGTCATCGAACTATTTTCAAAAGAAGTGAAATGCTGCTGAGAAAGTGCATAATCCATCAATGCAAATAAATAGTAATTGGATGGAGCCAAGTCTGGTGAGTAAGCTGCATGCACAAGTATTTCCCAACTAAATGCCTCAATTGTTTCCTTGACTAGTTTTGCTCTATGTGATGCTGCATTATCATGAAGCAAAATCAGTTTGTGTTGGCTTTTTTGATATTGTGGTCATTTTTCAGGCAATGCTTGATTCAAATCAATCATTTGTTGTCAGTAGCATTCAGTATTAATGGTTTCACCAGGTTTTGACAGCTCATAATAGATCACACCCTTCTGATCACGCCAAACACAGGGCACTGTCTTCTTTCCATAGTGATTTAGCCTTGCATTCGATGTTGATGGTTTGCCTAGTTACTCATGAGCGTTTAAGCTTAAGATTCTCGAAATATATCCACTTTTCATTACCTGTCACAATTCAATGGAGAAATGACTTTCTTTAGGCAAGCAGCATTTCGCAAGTGGGTTTTTCGGTTTTCTTGCTATCTGTCATTCAATTCATGTGGAACCTATTTTCCCATGGCTTTCAAACATATGGAGACGATTTCTAGAGTTACATTTAATTGATTCGCAAGTTTTTTTGGGGGGAGGGGGGGTGTTTCAGCATCATCGTCATCCAACAATGCTTGCAATTAATTGTCTTAAAACCTTTTTGGTGGTCTTATATGTTTTTCGTTTCTCATGTCCAAATTGCTACTTTTGAATTTCTTAAACCACTCGAAGCACCATGCTTTTACTAAGATTATGCCCACCATAAGCTTTGAAAAGCATTCATTGTGATTCGGCAGCAGTTTTCTTTAAATGGTAAAAGAAAATTAATGCTGTCTGCAAATACCAGTTTGTAGGCACAAAAAAATCAACATGTTTAATGCTATTAAACTATGATGTTATATGAAACTTGTATTGTTGTGAATTGAAAATCTTTGTCAGCTGTTAAAGAAATAAAATGGCCCTAATGATGCAGTTTGAAGGTAACTACATCGATAGCTACTGCCATCTATGGGCAAATTTTGGTTTCATATTTACACACAGGTAATTTAAAATGAGTGGCGAATAATAAAGTTGTGTCTTATTCATGTTACACATGGAAAAATACAACACTACAATACCTTCTCAGTTGCATAATATAAAATTCATAAGTTCTTATATATTTGACTACTAGTATGGAAGCCATACATTAACTAAATACTCCAATAAATCAGGTACACATTTCAGATAATTTGTGTTTGCTCCTGACAGTCAGGCAAAAGCCTCCACATTTAAAAATCCAGCCCAAAAAAACTCATTTTTAAATAATATTTACATTTTGAATTTACATGCATATTGAGCCTTTAAACACATTACTGCAAGCAGCTGGAATTTTACCTTCATTTCATCCAGTGTAACTAATCCGATTGTACTTGATTTCAATTGCTGCTCTACAGCATCATAATGAGCAGCAAACTTATTCCCAATATTTGCTAATTTCATCTCTTCTTCAATTTTCTTTTTTCTATGTTCTAACTCTTCTAAAGCCTTTTCTCTCTTTTTCTTCAGCTGTAAGGCACGGCCAGCTTCACTAGCAGCTCCTTTATAAAGAGCCATGATTCTAAAGGCAAAGAAATTAAATTTTCTGTCAAATAGTTTAAAGAATAATCAAGAAAATGTAACATTTCTTTTATACAGAAGCAAACACAAATTCCTTTAAAAATCAAAGCGATGAATAAATCAGATGTTTATTACACATTTTTCTTTACTTCTAAAATAAAGCAGGAATTTCTCCTAGCATCATTTGCAACACACCATTTTGTATTTAAAAGTATATTTTACAGACCTTTTCCTTAAATTCCTTTAGTGAATTAATAACTGTCTGTTACTGAATTTATTCTGCAACATAATCTAAGGATTTCAAATACAAAATAAACTTTAAAAAAGCATTTATATAAAATAAGCTTTTATTTAAAACTTATGAAACAGTTAATGAACTTGTAAAGATATTAAGTATCTTTTGGAAGCAGGGAAATTGAAAAATGAGCAACGCTTTCGCCGGAAATCGAACCACGCACCTCTGGAACATGCTCCCAGTGTGCAAACCACCACCCCACGAAGGCGTGCTAAGAAGGCGGAAGAAATACCTTATATACTTCCCCTTCTAAAGGGCAACTGGGGTTTTTAGGGGACCCAATCGCTCACTCCTAGGTGTGGAGAATCATCATCCCCCCACTCTTTTAGTCCGGACGTCACTGTAGAGACATTAGGTTATTTAGAAGCAGGAGAGATAAAAATGAGCAACGCCTTTGCTGAGAATCGAACTTCGGACCTCTGGCACACACACCCAGCATGCAGACCACTACCTCACGAAGGAATGCTAAGGCTTATATCACACATGCATCATGCATTTGTTTCACACGAACAACTGTTCTGGAAAATTTTTATGCCTGGTTTTCTACTGAAAGAAAGACGCATGATTCTGTCCTTCCTTTAGAAAAAAATTGCAAGTTGTTCGTTTTCAACCTATCAACTTGTTTGTAATGAAGAACCGGTTTCCCCTGTGTTAACCCCAAAGCAATCTGTGATGTGATGATTGGCTGTTGTGACAAAGTAGAAAAAATTTTCCAAACATTTGTGCTTCCAAAACAAATGGATGTGTGATAGCAGCCTAAGAAGGCGGCAGGAGAAATACCTTATATAGTTCCCCTTTTAAAGGGCGACTGGGGTTTTGAGGGAACCCAATCACCAAATCCTGGGTGTGGAGAATCATTATCCACCACCCTCTTAGTTCGAGCACCACTGCAGTCACATTAGGTATTTTTTGGAAGCAGGAGTCATGAAAAATTAGCAATGCCTTCGCCGGAAATTGAACCAGGGACCTCTGGAATACGCGCCCAGAGTGCAGACCACCTCACCACGAAGGCATGGTAAGAAGGAGGGAGAAATACCTTATAAACTAAAAGGAGAATATTTTATCATGCAATAAAACAACAACAAGAGATGAAATAACTTTCTTTACAAAAGTCATTTACAATTTTGCCCCATGAACAATAAAAAATGCGAGTCAGGCTTAATAAACTTAGATAATAGTTTATACTTTTAATACTATGATTCAATTATTAGACTTTTCTATTTAGGTGCTCATGCTTTAAGTTAAATAATTTTTCTCCTTTTAGTTCATTAATTACTTTATCTGTTTAAAAAAAATCTCATTTTATAAAAAAAAATTATGAAAAACAATTTTTTTTTTTTTTTACTCTACTTTAGTTATTATCTTTTCAAGTTTGAAATTTTGCCAAGATAACTGCCACTGCCATAATTGTTGATTTCGTTGACATTGGAGGGTAGGTAGCTGGTCTCTGGCTCTCTCCATATGAAAGTACAACAAGAATCGGTGTTTAGGATAAATCGGGACTCATCGGTGAACAGAACGGTCACCCATTGCTCCGTACTCCAATCACTATGCTGCCTGCACCATGCTAATCCGATTCTCCTGTCTGTAGACGTGAGCAGAACGCAAACAGCCAGTCTTCTGGAAAACAACCCTCTCTCACTCAGTCTGTTGGAAACAGTCACCCTTGTTATATGGGTGCCTGTGGCTGCATACAGGTCCCCGAGAGAGCTGAAAAGCAGTAGCCCCTCCGTAACGCCTCGCTAAAATGGACAAATAGCAATCTTCTCTAGCCGTTGTGGCTCTTGGACGATCTTGCCCAGGCTTTTTCTAGATGGATCCAGTATCCTGGAATTGTTTCCATAGGTTACACACGACGCTGGGCATTAAACTCTCTGCATATCTGGACTTTCAACTGGAATGCCTCTATCCTCTCCACAATTCGCCACCTCATTCCATTAAACTTTCTGCATATCTGGACTTGCAACTGGAATGCCTCTAACCTCTTCACAATTCGCCACCTTATTCTATCATCTAAATGTTGGTGGTTACTCATTTTTACTGTTCCGATGTGAATTTAACTGATTGCTGTACGATAACACCAAGAAATTCACCAAGGTGTGCTAGCGAATGTAATACGTCTTACCTTCCATGAGCTTATAAAGCCTGTTTTTCTGCTGGCTTCACTTACACATACGTGTATGCTTACGTATTTGCAGTACAAGATTTGCATTTTGGTCTAGAAGCAGTGGTTTTTCCTTCAGCTCAATTCTTTTCAGGCAATCCAATAAAATATGCAAATTCTCTTAATTTATTTCACCAGTGTATTATAGTTTTATTTATCAACTATTATTCCTGTTTGAAGAACTGAAATTGTCCCTTTAGTTTAGAATTAGAATATTAGCTGTTCAACTCAGGTTCAAATACAGGTAAAAGGACTGGTTCTGTAAGTGCATTTCACGGTTTTTCCTCATATGTAACATGACTACAAGACAGTTTTTCCTAGACAGCAATCCAAAAATGCATACCTCACCTTAGACAAATAACTTTCATCCATTTTGCCACATCCAAATAACCTAACGCAACCTTACAACAGCTATATATGAAACATATTTATTATACAATACCATTCGAACTTGCTTCAAACATGTATTATTAGTATATGTAAGCCTACTTAATTGTTACATTATTTAGATCATGTAATTGCACCAAATTAAATTACACAAAATAAATGAAACACGTACTTTAAATTCAGAAAATATGTATAGAGTACATAAAATATACTCAATAAGAACATATTTCCAGAAAATAACATCAATCAATAACTAATTCTTTTCACTACATATTTCCTGAAATCTTGGAATCAAACTGGATACAACTGTCTTATATACTATATCATGCTTATTTTCTTAAGATATTTGCTTTGTATTCTTGCATGTGCCTAAAAATCAGAAGCATAAATCTTACAATAGGTAAAGAATTAAGATTTATTTAGATTTACCGCTTGGAACTTTTATTGATATCTAAAAATCACATAGTTCCATGCTGCACTAATATTGACAAATCACCTTCTTTTGTCCTTTGCGATGCTATTTAGCAGAGCTCCAAAATCATTCGATTTTTGCTTCTAGAAGCTATTTGTTATTACAAAGCTGTATTTGTAATTAATTCACTACAAAATATTGAAAATCAGCATATTTAAATTAAATGCACTAAAATTTGGCTAGGATAGATTTAACAAAATGTTTTTTTCCATATGCTAAAAATATATTTTCTTAATAATACTCATAAGCCAAAAGATCATAGTTAGTACTATTTAAATTAAGAATAACTGAATTGTTATTCATACAAAGACAAAACCAGCAGCAGATCACGCATGGCTGCACCGGGGAGCAAAATTTAGGGAAGAAGAAATAACAGAAGATTTTCATTACGATACAATGCCCCTATCATCAACAGACGACGAAATCTGTAGAATGGTTCTAGATCCAGAAAATACCGCTACGGATAGTGAAGAAAGTGACAGAGAGTTTACTGAAAAAAAAAAAAAAAATTGATTCGCAAGTTAGTCGGAATTCTCGACACAGCAATTACAGGACTCGAACAGTGGAACTTTGTAACTGAACAAGAAATTATGTCTGTTTTTAGAATTAAGGAGAAAGTATTATCACAAAAAACGAAGCAACTTAAACAACTTACATTGAAAGAAATGTTTAATAAAGTAAACAAATAAATATTAAGCATTTTTTGTAAATTTTGATACCCTTTAGATTATAATTGCTCTTTATTTCATAAATTACAGTTTCATATTTTTAATTGTATAATTTTTGTATGCCATCTTACCAGATTTAAATTGATGATCTATAATCCATTAAAACCCTTTATCCGGAATCGCTGAAGTCCCGAAGAGTCCGGATTACAGACTTTGTACTGTATAAATACCACATTCACTCACATATTTTCTCCCTTTTTCCTATTAATTTTAACACTTACAAACCAGAAGTGGAAAAATATGTTATTTCTGAAGAGGAAGCTAGCTTACTTGATAAACACAGCACATTAAAAAGTATACATAAAAGACACACTAATGTCACATTATAATAATATTATGATCATTCGCCGAGAGGTGTCGACCCTAAGGTCTTTACCGCTACTTGTTATACATTGCATTGGAATTATCAATTTTAATATTCTTCTTACTTATGCAAAGTAATTTTTTATTTTTTTAAACATTTTGAATTATTACCATTAATTAGAAGTTTCTAAATCATATGCCTAAAAAACAGGATGGGAAAGCCTGTGAGGGGAAAAAACATGTGAATAAATATGGCATAAATCAAAACTTACATTTGTTTTGCTTATTAATCTAACCATGGTTTCTAAAAATTTTAATGCATTTTTAAAACATAGACTAAAGGTTTTCAATATTGTTTCCATGCTTCCTGTGTTTCATAAAATCAATGAAACAGAGTCAAATAAATTTGAAATTTGCTGATATTACTTTATCCTCCACAAATATCTGTCATTATATAAAACTAAGTATTAATATTTTGAAGCAATTAGTCATTCATGGCCACACTATTCAAGGATACTCCTGGTCTTTCAGCTTTCCTAATATCAAATTTAATTAACTCACTACTCATAATAAATTTTCAAATGTTAGTAAAAATAAATGTTAGGATGGAGAGCAATATTTTGATTTTTATGAAAGATCCATATTGTATTCCTTTTTGGTTAAGAAGTACGGCTGTAGGGTATTATCAATTTAGTTTATAACGTAAAATGTCTGCAGAAACCACATAAATCATTATTATTTAGTTTATGCCAATTTAGTTTATCAAATGTCTGCAGAACATATAAATCTGTGTTTCTCAACCTTCTCTTACTTGCATACCTCTTGACCTATCATCATTATTCCACATACTCCAACTCCACTACCAATTATGCATAAATACTAACATCTACATCTACAGGTACAGTAATTACTCTATAATACACACATATTTTTCTTTTCCCCTGTTATGCAAAGCTGGTAAACAGTGGTAATTATCTACATTTAATTAAATTTAAAAATAAATATAAGCACATTAAATCAGAATCTAGAGTGCATGGTAATTTAAAATCGAGATTGGAAGATGAAAAATACAATCTCAAATCCGAACTTGGCAGGAAAATCTGTTCCCGTACTTATGTATTTTTAAAATATGCATAGGACAAGATACCCCTCTCCACTAATAATATAGTGCTTGTGAATGGTAACAGAATAGTGACTGCCTTGTTGAATATTTTGGGATATGTTTCTCTCAGGTCAGTCCAGAATGAGGCGAGGGATTGTTTCTCAACTTCTACCTTCGCTGAACAATCCCTTTTCAGTTTAATCATCTTAACTTTCTTTAGGACTGATAAAGATACACAGTGGAAATACTTTTCACTGAAAGGGCACACTATCTAGTGGTCATCTGCTCCACATTAGAAAAAAGTTGCCTTCAGTCCATTCAAATGTTGCAGTATCCCATATTTTCACAGAAATAAAATTTTAATATAAACAACAATGCCAAACTGCCTGCTTGCTTTATGCAAGCATTTTTGAAATATACCTGTTCCTGTGTATTGGTCAGTCCTACCCCTCTTGACTGGTGCTGGTCCTGCAAATAAAATGAATACCTAAATTGAATTTAAAAAAATCATATCTTTCTAAATTAAAATTATTTTAGATTATTTTGATTTTTCATACTGAAATATAATTTGGATTAAAATGCCAGTTGTCACAACAGTTTTTATCTTTCCTCATCCAGTTTTTTCTTTTTTAATCAATCCACCAATGATCACCATCACATCTTTTTTTCATGTATCCCTTGAAACCATTTAATGTATCTCTTGGGGTGTGCATCCCATAAGTTGTGAAGCATTGCTATAAATTGTTGAATTATTTATTTAAAGATTATCCTGAATTTACTTCATCCAATAACAAAAGAAACAGATGATGTTTAATCTGTCAGCATATGTACTTTTGGTGCAAGAATGAAGATATGTGATAGAAGAAAATTCTCAAATTGAACTTATTTATGTGTTAATTGCCAAAGAGAAAGGCAAGCATAAAATAATTTTAAACTTAACTTCCCTTGAACTAATGCAGTTCAGCTCAACAGGCTCCACAGCTGGCTACCTTATCTTTATCGAACACTGGGCGACTTTTAAGGGTCCATTCCCACTGGGGTTTATCTGAGTTAATGGAGACAACTGATGTAATACCCATCTTCAAAACCAGTTTTTTTTTTCCCACAGGGCAGCAAGTTGAAAAATTTGAACTCCAGGCATAGCGGAGCTAGTCGACACATGGAACTTACTTCATTAGCTCAGATAAACCGCAGCGTGCATGGCACTTTATAATGTTGGATAGCATTTCTAAGGAGTTAAAATGATAACATATTCATATTTGTAGGCAGACAGTGTAGAAGTAGCAACTGATCGAATACGATAGCAACTGTATGGCAAGATAGTCTTAAGGAAAATGCAGCTTCAAATGCAGTGGCCAAGTTAAGAGACAGAGTAGTGGCTTCATCCATATAGGTTGGCTAGGTTACAGTCTGAAGAAAAAGGAACAGCAGGTTTTCAGTGGTACAGAAAAACTTGGCAAAAAGATTGCCATAATTGTACAAAACTACTGATAAAAATAAAGGTTAACACGTTGAGCGCTATGCGTATTTCTTAGGCAATCCTGTTCAGGCCACGTGCGCCGCTTAAAAGCACTGGTATTGTAGGGTCAGGAGTAATGGCCAGAAAAAAGACTAAGAGAGTTTTCACATTTTGTAATAGCAGTAATGGAGAACCGTTTTTATATTTACCGTGTTTCAATGAAATCCATTAGTCCTGTAATGAATCAAAATTAAGTAAATTTTAAATAAATTTTCTGTAATTCCATAAAACAGTGAAAATTTTATAGTTATATATCATGATACACGCTGTTAGCCAGTGGCGGTCGACGTGGCCTAAACGGAAAGTCTAATGTTGGCCACAGATGGCTGACACGCCTAAACGGAAAGTCTAGTGTCGGCCACAGATGGCTGACACAGTCTAAACGGAAAGTCTAGTGTCGGCCACAGATGACTGAGGCGGCCTAAGCAGAAAGTCTAGTGTCAGCCAAAGATGGCTGATGTGGCGCTCAGCGTATTAACTATATTTGGCACTCACTGCTATTTTGATAGCTTTTAACCCTGTGCTAGAATTAGAGTGGAACCTCAAGATACAAGTTTAATTTGTTCCAGCATTGAGCTCGTATAGCAAATTTCTCTTATCCAAAAACAAACTTCCCTATTTAAAATAATGCAAATCCAGTTAATCTGTTCCGCACCCCCAAAAATATCAACATAAAAATTAATTTTTCTAATAAATAACATCGGTAAATAATATAACCATAGTTCACCTTTATGATAGCTTCTGACACCGAATTGCCTTTTAACTGCTTCTTGTTAATCTACATCAACAGCTTCTCAACATTTTCTACAAGTTTTGGACAGTGCTTGGAAGTAACAATAACTTCTTTGGTTACATCAAGTTTCTTCCTTAGAATAGTGCAGATCATAGATGTCGAACGTAAGTGTTCACCAACTCCATCACTCTTACATCGCACTTATGTTTATCTATGATATCTTTCTTAATTTCAATGGCCATGGCTTCCTTCTTTTTATTTGCAGCACTATCTGAGGCAACAATTATCTTGGGAGGCATCGCAAAATAATTATTTTCACATTAAATGTAAAAAACAATTAACTCACAAGTGCACAAACACGTAGATCAAAGAACACTGAAGGCTCTCACAAGGAGATGTCCCAAGTCGAGTCGGATTGAGAAAAAGCGCCATACATACAAACAGCCTGGCTCATTGTTTGTTACTCGAGTCAATGCTCCTATTTAGAGATGAATTTTTCACTCATACTTACCTTGTATCTTGAATTTCTTGATGTGCTTGTATCTCGAGGTTCCACTGTATGTTGATCTGAGATTTGAACTGAGATTCTATAACCTGTATATATATATATATATATATATATATATATAATATATTTAAGGTTAGTCTATATTTTAGGGTGCCCCTTGGATTATCACCAAATTGTTGTTTCAATTATGGTAACCTGAGTAGTTGAATGTTATGGAAACCCTATTATGACGTGATTGGTTGCATGATTGTGGTGAATTTGACAAATGGGAAAATACTAATTCAGAAGTCAAACAACAAAAATCAGCGTTAATTTACAAAATTTTCACAGGACTAGTTTCGATGGTTTTACCGAACCATCATCTTCAGCTGCAAAACCGCAAATGAACAAGATAGGAAATTATGTTTAGATAAGATAAGAAAGCCTGGACAAGAATAAGCAAGTGGCGCCATCTGTTGGCGAAACCAGAACTAAAACATAATTTCTCTGAAAGCCGAAGGCAAATTTGGATTGGAATTAGGATCGTTAACTAGAACAGAAAAGAATTTTATGAATGTGAAATGCCTCTAGAAAATCCAGTTCTCCAATGGAAGATGTTTTTTGAATAATTTTGGCATCAGAAAAAATTGAAAGTGTGATTTTCGGACCAACAATGTTGAGCAACAGAAGACTTCTGTGTTTCCTTTTTTCTAAACATATGCCTCATGTTCTTTGACGCGAAATTTTAAGGCTCTCTTAGTTTGGCCAATGTAAATTAAACCGCACTGGCAAGGAATCCTATAAATACCCCAGGAATTCATATCCGGAATGGGGTCCTTGAGTATAGAAGTTGGAATTTTATTGATGGGAGAATAAACAACCCGAAAGTTAAAAAATTTCTGCAAAATATGTGCAACTTTATAGCTAATTGATGGAAAGGGAATGACAACAGAATTTTTATAATCTCCCTAAAATAAGAGTGTGGCTTTTAGTGTGTTGAGATGAGAATTTTTTAACTGCTTGATTAATAATGTTGGGTGAAAAGCCCCTGTCAATAGCTATTGCTTTTAAAAATAATTTAGTTCTTCATCAAGGGCTAGTTTGGAGGAGCAAACTTGAAAGAGCACGGAAAACATAGGAATAAAATGAAGCTAAACTTTTGTTTAGTCGGATGACATGATTTAAAGTGTGGTGGAAGGCAAACCGATGAAGGTTTACGGTAAACTGTAGTACTGAAGTTGGATGTGTTACGTGTGACCAGAATGTCGAGAAACGGAAGAGAATTGCAAGTCTCAAGTTCAAAAGTGAACTGAATAGCAGGATCAATAGAATTCATTGTTGAAAGAACTCTATTTAAATCATCTTTATTACCTTCAAAACATGGTAAAAGTATTCATCTACGTAGCGGAACCATGCCGGGAAGTTTAAAGTTTCAAACAACAATTTTGATTCATAATAATGCATGTAGATATCAGCCAGGATGGGACTGAGGGGGCTTCCCATGGCTAATCCCTCAGTTTGCTTGTAATATTTCTTTTGGAAAACAAAATGTGTTTGTTTCAAACAGAGTTGAGTGAGAGAAATTAGCTCATCAATTTCGATGCAAGAGAAATGAAATTCGCGAAGTCTGGTTTCTAGACACCTTAATGCACCCTCCACTGGGACATTGGTGAATAATGATTTTACATCAAAAGAAACCATGAGTAAATTACGAGGAGAAATGTTTTTAACCTTTTTTACAAACTCTATTGAATTTTTTATGGTGTAAATGTTATTGTCTAATAGAGTGGAAAATCTAGAAACTAAATTTAGCTAATGGATACGAGGCAGTACCTAAATTTGATACAATAGGGCGGAAAGGAATACCACTTTATGAATTTTGGGAAGAGCATATAATCTGGCACAATTCGCAACAGATGGAGATAAGCGAATGTTTTAAGTTGCTTGAAATGATTTGCGAAGATTTGATCGCAGTTTTTATTTTGGATAAGTCCGAAGGTGAAGGATCTTTAGGGATCGGATTATATGGTCCTTCGTTTAAGAGTTTAGTGACACCATCGATGTAAGTGTTCTTATCCATGACGACTATCTGGCCACCTTTGTCGGCCTTTGAAATGACAATATCCGGGTTAGAATGAACCTCGCGCATTGTAGCTCTTTCTCTCGCAGTTAGATTTGGTTTCAAAGGTTTATTATTGAATTTCACATTATGAGCGATAAGATGCCTAATCATTTCTTTCTGTGAATCTGAAACTTTACTGAACTTGAAAGCTTTTTCGATAGGAGCCCAAATCTTTGGAATCGAGGGTTTACAGGTTTGTGAGAAGTTAAAATTATATTTTAGAATTCTCTCTTGTTCTTCTGAAAGACTAACATTAGAAATATTAACTATTGGCTTGATGTTTACAATGGGAAGATTTTTTGAACTACTTGAACTGGAAGACTGTAAAAGAAGTTTTTCGAATTTAACTGCAAGGGTGTTTTTATGACGGTTAACTGCATTCTCCGTTCTAGACCAAGACTTCTAGACCGACCAAGACCAAGACGTCATAAAAACACCCTTGCAGTTAAATTCGAAAAACTTCTTTTACAGTCTTCCAGTTCAAGTAGTTCAAAAAATCTTCCCATTGTAAACATCAAGCCAATAGTTAATATTTCTAATGTTAGTCTTTCAGAAGAACAAGAGAGAATTCTAAAATATAATTTTAACTTCTCACAAACCTGTAAAC